TTGGAGGTGACTGTATTTTTTGGTATGTGATTTTGGCCCTTACTAAACTGGAATTAGACATTATACCTTATTACATTCTGAGCTACTGAGCAGTGTATTTCTTCCTGGCAGGATCTGGATTCTGTAGCTTTGGGGTGCTAATGTCCTTGTCAGACCTGGAGAGAACACTGCATTGCATTATTGTAATAGGTCAGAGGCTATAATAATGTGAAGCCCAATCTCAGAAACATTTCGGCAAGCTATAACGTCTGGTACACCATTAAGAAATATGCACTTGGATCCTTGATAGCCTCTTTAAAGGGCATAATAGCCTGGGTTTTATTATGAGCTCGCCCATGAAATCCTTTGCAGCAAAACAAAAATCAGGCAATCTTTTTGTGCAATACATAACTGCGCCTTATCACAAACTGTGTTTTTCAGTGTTGAAATCCATTTAAAGCAGAAGCAGTTATTGCAGAATTACATGTATCCTGCTGTGTCGGGTGGTTTTAACCCAAAAAAGAATTGACTTGGGGGGGATGGAATAAAATGGCAATCGCCATTGAGCTGGCAAGAAATCCGAAACTAAATTGTAAGTAAAGAATTCAGGGCTATTGGCTGCTGCACATCAGTCAAGAATCTCTAGACAAGTGGTACTGTATATCCGTAAACTGCTGTGCTGACACATTCAGCCAGATTGAGATTTGTCTCATAGAGCCTGCCTTGGGAGAATTTGATTGCAGTCTCTACAAGCTATCACCCCCTGAAGCTGTTTACTTTTCAGAAGGAAAAGAAAGGAATAAAGCTTAGTCACAGCATGACTAGAAGCACATAAAAAGACTGTCAGTTAAACTTTGAAATGGCCAAAGATGCCTTGTGGCCTATGAGGTTTGGATACTTAACACTGAGGTCAATTTGGAACATATTTTAAGTGGGAGTGCAATACTGGGATACAGAATTATTACTACATTGGATGGTCTTATTAATTGATACTTTGAAAGGCTTCTGGGTTTTCATGGCTCATTGCTTTACAGAAAAGACAGATTCTTTGTGAAAAGTTGTTACACTTTTAACCAGCAAACGTCTTTTATTTTATAACCTTTATGAGAAGAAACCTTTCATGGATCAAAATCTTATACCATAAACACACCAAATTAGTGTGCCTGCATTGTAGATCAGATGTTTATTTGGTGTTTTTTGATGGATGTCCTGTGGATTAATTTATTTTCCATAGCACTGTGTAATTCCGAATTCTGGACAGTCTGAGTTAGCTGTGGAAGCCTAAGGAGTATTGAAGTTCAAGGCACCTTGTGAGCTGTAAGTTTGGCTGCTTATTTTGGTGCTGCTTGTGCCATATACCTATTGTGGGACTAAGACAGATTATCCACACAGTCGTCCCTCTCCTCAGCCCAGCACTGTTTTCTGAGCCCTGAGGGAATTCCTGGAGAGTGTCACTGAAGTTTTGAGTTTCTTTGTTTATAGTGCTGATGAACTACAGTTTTCCAAATTGAAACTTAAGAAAGATGCATAGGTCTCCAGTTGGCACCAGTCAAGGTGCAACTATAATGTATGAAGCATAATCAAATCTTGGCAAAATTTCCAAACTGACTTTCAAAGGCAGATCTTCTTTCCATCATTTGTGAGCAGGAAACGTGAGAGGCAGGGTCCAGGTGCCAACTGTCTCCTGAAGATCGATCTCTTAGCAAAGTGAAATTTCACTGTTCTCCCTGGTGCTTACACGTTATATCTTTTCTCACTATTAGGTGTTTGCTTATTCCCTGAGTTTTTGCTGCACATATTATAGACATTTCACAAGAAAACATTCAAAGTACTGTTTGGAATTTAACAGTATGGATTTGCATTGTGAGCTAATTGTTTTTTTAAAAGTCTGTTGCTCAATAGGAAAATGTACACAATTTATGTTATAGAATAAAACATGTTGTTATTATGCTACATCAAAGCCTGCATAGTTATAATAAATCTATGCTTTGTTTATCGACCAGATGCACAGATAGACTTTGTGGAGGTGGAATTTCAAATATTATTTAGCTCCTGGATATAAAGATTTGTATACGCCTCAACCAAAACAAGTGAAATTAAATTGCTCTGCTTGGATGCTAAGTTTGAAAATGTGATGAATGTGATCACTAAGATAGGGAGGACAGGGCTCAACCATAAATTGGGCTGCATTTATCAAAGTATTGTAGCCCCATTAAGGCCGGTGTGCTTATCTTTGTTTGTGAACAAGATTTTATTAATTCTTATCTTTAGCCTGCGGGCTGTTACTGTGGTGATGGAAACAAAAGGGTTAAGAGCATTGTCTACAGGGAATGAAAACACTGACTCCTAGCTCTGAGCGTAGCTTGACGTTGATTTTCCTAGGCCAGATGGGATTTTTCTATGTGAAAAGAGAAAGCATTAGGAGATATCTTTATCTAGAAAGTGTCCCCGGCAGACAGCCAAGGCCCTGATCCATGACGGCAGATGTCAGATTGGAAAGAAAGTGTGATTAACAGTCAATGTGAGATCATTGTGATTTACCGGTGAGGCACTGCTCTTAAGACAAGGCCTCGAGTGGCACTTTGTTTGCTTCTCTTTATATTTCATGAAGCACTTTTATTATCTCTGTCCACATGGAGATCCTTGAACTGACTGCCTTTAAGCAGGGCTTGGGTTAGCTGGACAGATTGACAGAAGAATGTTTTGTTTTTGGAGACATTAACTGATAAAGCTTTTGTTGCCTTCTGGCTCTTTTTCCCAATTGCTACTCTCTTGAATAATTTCATTTCAGATGTATAATATTGTTCAGGGAGAGTGGTGGCTTTTATGCACTGACTTTGTTTGCGGGTAAGATTTTATTAAAGATAAAATTGAAGCAAATAACTACTTTTTTTGTTTGGGATAAGGCTTTTAAGCCACACTGAATTTCATACTTAGCTTAGGATGAGTAATACATTACAGGGGTAGATGTCTATTATTTTGTTATAAAAAAACACACCTACATCTAATTAAATGGGCTACAGAATACTAAAAGATGCCTAATGGCAACAAATTGTGTCTGCGGGGTTTTTCCCCTGTTTTCTTCAATAATTACAGCCATAATCCTGACAACATTACTGTGAAATGTCAAATGTCAGAATGGGGGCTGAATGAAATAAATTATATGATGTAGCAGTACACACTGAGTGGAATGATACTTAAATCTCTCATCTCCTATGAAATTTAAGCTTCTGTAGTAGGCAGCAACAAAAGTTGCTTTAGAAATACAATGCGGAGTCAGATTATATAAGTCTTTTTTCACCTGTGTTTCAAAATACCATTTAAATAACTTGGTTCTTTGTGAGAATTTGGAATTACTCATTCATTTGTGACTACCAGTATTTTCATATCCTTGTTCGAAACAAGACCACTGAGAAAGTTGGAGAAATGCAGAGAATAGTAGATGTAGATAAAGAACATGCAGCTCTTAATGCTGCACATTTAACCATCTTTATTAAGCAGCAGTCGATTAAAGAAGTTTATTTCTTTCCACCTACCCAGACTCCCCTTTACAACTGGTAATGCAATTGGCATACCTTTTCCTCTTCTCCAATTATGTTCAGTATCTGCAGCTGCTGTGGTGTGAAAAGATCACTGGCAGTGTGGAGCGAATCTACATGGACCACAGTTAACATTTTAATTGGTGCTTAGACATCGTTCATTCATCTCTGCTCATAAATTATTTTTAATAGCACGTCTCTGCTATCTTTCCCGCTGTTCTCCCAAGCCTGAAGTTCTGTACTCTAACGTGAAAACTGTCAGTTTTGCACAAGACCAAATTAAGTAAAATGATTTTGTATTTCTTTGCTTGCAGACAGTGCAAATCACATAACTTTCATAATTTGGTAACAAATCACATTTTCCCTCCCTTCCTCCTTATCTTTCAGTGAAGCTCTGAACATTGCTGAACATTTAAAAAATGAATTGTATATTATCATGTTTTAAATGTTTTTTTGTTAATGCACACGTCAATGTAAAACATGATAATATACAATTCATTTTTTAAATGTTCAGCAATAGAGACTTTAATGATTGTGCATAGGGCTGTGAACAGAACGGTCTCATTGAAGTGAGAATAATTGACTTTACAATTACCTGATTCACTTAACAGTGGTGAGTGATTACTAGTGAAATGAATTACTTTTAAAAAATCTGTTAAATGTGTGTGAACATAACTTCGGTATGCAACATTTAATATTGAAGGTGATTCAGTTTTTGAAACAAATCTCTCCTTTCATTGACGGGGCAAGTTGTGTTCTCCTTCATAGATGGGGGAAGCAGGGTGATGGGCATAAATACATTAGACTGCATTGGAACCTGGTCAGACTGCTTTTAGTTGGTCTTTTTCACTCTATCTGAAACCCAGTATGAAGGAGGACAGCTGTAGGTAATAAATCTCCTGGGGAGGATTTCATTTGCTGTGTGCTTGTTAGAGTTAGTGTGGGGAGATTTTGCTGGGATTAGTCATGGGATTTGGGGTCAAATTGCATTACAGAATCAGAACCGTCTTAGGATGTTGGTGGGATTCAGCCTCATTTTCCCCCAGAAAGCTGGCTGAGCCGATGTCTCTTCCCTACATGCTAATTCCCGATCGTGCGAATGGGTGCATCTGTCTGAGCCTGTACAGTGGATAATCTCATGCACACAAATCCCATGCAATTTTACTAGAGAGCGAGAGAGAAAAGAGAAAGAAAAAGCCCGTGGTATATCTCTGGTGGGTATTGACAGTGAATCCTGGCCTTGGCAATCGATTTGAAGGCATAAATGTCCTTCTCCTAGTGTAGGTGTTTTGATGCTTTTACTGTGTGCAACATTTTGTTGTGCTTCCCCACTAGCATCTGTGAAGCTTTTCTAAAGTTTTGTAATTTCCATAAATTACTGGCCTCAAAGTAAATTCATGTCAGTCAAGGTGCGTTACACATGAGGTGCAGCATGTTCTGTTGTGTATTCATCAGCTCTAACGCCCCTGTCTCTTTGTGCAGGTGATGTGGTGGACGTCTACCAGCGGGAGTTCTTGGCACTGAGGGACCGGCTTCACTCGGCTGAACAGGAGAACCTGAAGCGATCGAAGGAGCTTAACCTGGTGCTAGACGAGATCAAGAGAGCCATTGCTGAGAAACAGGCACTAAGGGACATTAATCGCACCTGGAGCAGCTTGTCAGGTACATTTCCGTCGGCAAGGACCTACTATTAGGGTGTGTCTGTAGAGAGGTACTTCTACTGCCTAGGCGTGAGTATGAGATTCCTTCTTCCTGCATACACTTCAGCGGCATTGAGCATGTTGCTTGACAAAGGGCATAATGTATCCTTTTACTCTACTCCAACTCACCCCAGTTCTACAGGATGGCAGTCTCCCAGGTCAGTCCATCTCCTTGATTGGTTGGTCAATCAGTTTATCTGGAAGGAGCAGGTAATGTCTAAAAATGAGGTTTTTATTGTTTAGGAGAGCAGTTTCCCTAGGAATTTACACACAAGTACATGTGTTTGCAACCATTAAATCCCATGAACAGTATGGATTTCTTGTATTTAAAATGATATTGGTTGCTGTGTCTGTTTTCCTTTGTCCTGGTCCCAGTCTCAGAATGCCAAAATTAGATTCATTAGGCTTCCTGGCAGTGGCTGGAAGCCTCCTTGAAATCATAAAGAGTATTTATTTTTCTTCCTACTCTTGAAACAGCTGGTGTTTGGAATCCTGCAATGCTAGGAAACTCATACTGGACAGGTATGCTAGGGAAAAAAACTAACCACCAAATCTTGCATCATCAAAAATCATAGCCTGGAGCATATATTCAAGATATGTTTTAAAATCTTATTGTGAACCTCTGGAGAGATTCATTGTAATTTAGGAGACGTTGTTAACAAAACATTGCAAAATGAACAGAAGTTGTTGTGTTCATTTTTAACAACCTTAATAAATCATAAACCATTTTTAGAAATATTACCTATCACTCAAGTTAGTCCTGCACAGCTGGACCTCTTAAGTCCAGCTTTATGAGAATAAATCTAGTCTCAATACAATTCCAATAAGGCAAAATAGGGTTATTGCTTAAACTAAAACAACTGCCTGACTGTCAGTTCACGCCTTAGGCAAAATTCCAAATCTGGTAGGTATCGTTAAAGTGCCTGTTACGACCACAGGTGTCTAGCGGTAAAGGGGTGTAACATTTAGGATGGGTTTGGATGCAGGTGGGTTTCTGGTGAGGGACTAAGGAAGCGTGACAACAAAAGTTAGTGCAAAAGTGATTTATTTTTAAAAAGTGAATAAGTGAGTGGTACATATACAGGACACAATAGCACACAGGAAAAAGGAACTTGAGTGGTGCCAAAGGAAAGAAAATAACAAAACCAAAAGGATCTAGCAAATAGAGTGAGGTCTAACCGAACTAGCCCAAACGAACAAAGATCAAAAGGGTCTTCGGCACCTTCATGCACCCTAACTTCTCTACACTGAACTCACCAGAACCACAATACACAAGTGGCACACGCCCCTAACCTAGTGCGTCTAGACAGAAAACAAACCTACGTGTGCACAATGTAACCCAACGACCTTACCTATACCTTTTCCCTCGGTGTACAGCAAGTTCACAGTTAACAATAACGCGACACAAGTGACCCAATCGCACGATTGTGGGAAAACAGGTAATACCGAAGAAAATACCCAAGCAAGGAATAGGGTAACAAAATGAGCACAAGCAAGGTAAAAAGAAAAGTAACAAGTGCGGTCAAGGTAAAAACAAAACACAGGTAATCAAAACCAACAAACGAAGTCGAAGCTAACAATGAACAAACATCACTTTTGCACAAACTTTTGTTGTCATGCTTCCTAAGTCCCTAACCAGAAACCTACCTGCATCCAAACCCATCCCGGACGAGCCCCCAATAATGTTACGACCCCAGGTGTCTAGGGGTAAAGGGGTGTAATATTTAGGATGGGTTTGGATGCGAACAAATGCGAACATGAGCCGAAGCTAATCGAAGTTGAGCCGAAAGCTAATGGAGTCGAAACTTCTTCAGGTATTTGAACTTGAGGTCTGGTTGCTGATTGGCCGGGAGTTGATTGATGATGTCACAGGTGTAGTGATGGACCAATGGGGGGAGGTGTACCTGAATACAGGACGTGGAAAAAACAAAAACACGGACACGGACGGGGACGTAACACCCCCACGCATATTAACAAACATCTAATGTTTGTAAACAAAAGAAAAACAGAACAAAACACACGAGCGACATGATCCACCCAGAGAGAAATTCAGATATTGAGGGATACTTGGACAACCCATTCATTCATTGTTGCAGAAAAACTGCCTTTTTCAGAAGAAACCTCTTGTGAATCTAGTATTTTAGTTCAAGGAATTGAGATGGGAATTGTAAAGGTACCCTTACGTCGAATACATTTGGTGTGTGACTTAATTAAAGTGTGGGTTACAGTTGGGGTACGCCTATTAATTACCTATTAATGGTGTAAGTTTCATCCCAGGGAATGACACACAGGAAAAATGCTGGATCATTATCCCAATATGACTAAATGGGCTCAGTGGCGCAGTGGTTAGCATTGCAGGGGTCCTGGGTTCAATTCCTGCGGCACTATTTGTGTGAAGTTTGTATGTTCTTTCCGTATTTGCATGAGTTTTCTTCCACAGTGCAAAGACATACAGGTAGGTTAATTGGCTTCTGGGAAACTTGGCCCTAAGTGTGAGTAAGCGCCTGTCCTGTTTTTGTGTCTATGTGTGCCCTGTGATGGATTGAACTTCTCTCCTTGCGCCTGCTGCCTGCTGGGATTGGCTCAGGCTCCCTGAATTGGATTAAGCAATTAGAAAATGGATGGGTGAATGTCAGAATGGGGTGCTTGCTGAAACCAATATTTTTTCTCTAACTTAAAACTAAAGCTGTCATTGGAACTGCTCCATTGATTGGCACTTGGCAGGTTTCATCTAACTAAAACCTATTCCAGACCCTTAACTCGTGAGTCGTACAAACGTCTTTTAAGCTTTCAAGCTTCTTCGGCTGCTTATTAGAGTCAGTGCCTTGTACCACTAACTGCATGTCTTCTAAAAATGCTTGTAATGTTAGATCCAGCCTTGTTAGGTAACATGCTACTTTCCCTTTAATTTGCTTGCAGTTATCTTTCACTGTTGAAGTGGGCTTCCAAGGGACTTACTTGGAAGTCAGCACATTGATTATGTTGCAACACCACAGACATCTACTGGAAAGGAAATAACCATTTCCACCAAAGTGTAGGAAATTCTACCATTTTTCTAACAATTTTAACATAATTGAAACTAATTAATGGGTTACCCTGCCTGCTATTATCCTTTTTGACTGTACAATTACTGTTCACTGTGGGATATGGCGTGCTGCATTGCAGGTTCCAATAAAGAAAGAAAAAAAGGCCTCAAGGAACAGAGCACTCTCATATTCTTTTAATCGGGAAATTATTTTTAATGTGCATCCCTGCATGATGCAGTCATTAACGCATGTTAACTCCCTCCCCCCCAAGGGCTTCTGTGTAAATGAAGGACCGCAGTGAACTGGGGTGGGTCCTAGAGTGACATTTTAATTGATCTGTGCAAACAAGCCTCTGCCCACAGTAGTCCTGTCATGGATTGTCTTAAGCCAGAGTACTGTATGTTCTTGCCAGGATTCTCACGTAACTGAAAGGACAAGGCTTCTGCTGTGACCTGACCTGCTCTTCCTGACTTTTCACTTCTGTACCATCTAAATTTTTCCATAAAAAATGGATTATACTTACATATATCACATATACAGAATGTGTGTTTATTCTTAGCCACATGTTGGAATATGTACAGTACGTGTATATAGATACTGTGACACATAATGTGTTGAGGAGTTAAGTATTTTGTAACTGGGTTATTCTGGTGGTTTTAGCCAAAACTAAAACAAATACATTTAATGAATAAGTACCATAAAGTCTGCAGGATGTTGTAGTTGGCTATGCAGTGGTTTGCCGCTTGAAAAACAATTGAGGACAGATTGTATAGGAGTCTTTTGTGTGCTTTAAAATTAATTGCAGAATTATGCTCCTCTGGCTGGAAAGTGTATAAGCATCTTTGGCACTTCTATTTTCAGGGTTTTTTTTTTTTAACACGCCGACATGCTCAAGAAGCTTTGTGATCGCTTTCGTTTTTTCCAGACGAAACCAAACTGAAGCTGTGGAATGTCACCAGTAAGAATGTGCTGCAGCTGCCCAGCATCTTCCACCACCTCCCACACCTGCTGGCCAAAGAGAACAGCCTGCAGCCTGCCGTGCACGTGGGTCAGGGGAGGACCGGGGGTGAGTCCGCCTCAGCCGGATCTGTGGGGCTACTGCCACTGGGTGGACAATACAGGACGCATGTAGTACTATAGGTTTCCAAAGCTGCCCTGACAACCACGAGTAGTTGAACTAACATGCATGAACAGAAGTAGTAGTGCTAGTAAAAGTCGTAGTTGTCTTACTTAAACAAATGTCACTCGCTTTGTTTTCCTGTGACAACCAAATATTGTGGCTGAAACGTCTTGGAGACTGGGACTTCTGGAATTTTTTATCCTGTTTTCTAAAGGAAGCTTGGAGCCTTGTAAAACCGAATCTCGTGCTTTTGTCAGACTTATTTTAAAATATGTGATTCTAAGTTTAAAAGGGAGGAATTAACACATCAATGCTATGCCAGTTTTAGTGAACCAACTTCTTACCTCCTACTTATGGAAGTGCATAGGTATCGTAGGATGAACATTATGAATTAAGAGAGAAAGTGACTATACAATACAGTGAATCTCTGAACAAAAAAAATATAAATAAAAAATCTGTGCAATTTTAACAGAATAAGGCCTTTGGCATAATAGACATGTTTGCCCTGGATTTGATTACATGTATTGCCTTAGGGCAAGTGGGTAGTTATTAAGACTAGTTAGTTAGGCTTTAGACATCATACTGACCTTTGTGGGTCCACATCCCAGCTATATGTGAGAATCATATTATCTCATTACTATGGAAACCAGGATAAAATCTGGGATAGTATGTCTTTCAGCTTGAGTATGGGCTACTATTGTACAATATTAAGTGTTGGTCTTGAAGAAGTGGTCTACGCTTCATTAAGGCTTCTCTTTCTTGGAACTGGTTAAAAAAAATATTTAAAGTATTTCCATCTAATATTCTAGGCTTTAGCCCATTAACATGTTTTGCTTTCTAGACAAAGTATTTCTAAGATTTATATCATTGTATACCTTTTCATCTTTTTATTGTTATTGTTATTTAACTTGAAACGAAATGTTGGATCTGCTGTTCAGTTTTTCAAGACTCTTTAAAGTACCTTTTTCAAAGGTACCCTAAGTCTCCTTAAACTCCACTGATCCAAGACTCTCTTGTAAATAAAGCAGTTTTTCAAGAATAAAGACTATCCCCTTTTGCATTACTACAGGGATGTATCTTTTTGTACATTGAAATTCTATCTGTTTTTACTTACTGTTTAATCCAATTTATCCAGATTCGCTAAATGGGCAGAATTGGCCTCCTCTCGTTTATAACCTTTCTTATTTTATGTACTATGTACTCCACCTTACAAAACCTAGTGTGGACTTAATGAGACAGTTTCGTAGTTAAAAAGGCTACAGGAAAATTAATATCAAATGAAATACAGAAGAACAGAGAGAGATAAAGGAAACACCAGGTTGAAAAAGATATCTTCTATTTCTTCTGTCTGTTTTGTTCTCATATTTTGGGGATTCTTTATGGCTGCTGTTTCCATGATTACAAACAATTCCCACTGTTTGCCACAATGTATTTTTCCCTGATTCAAGTGCAGTGTCTTCATTTAAAATTAACATGTCTCTTGGGTTCTGCCATTTAAAAGAAGCAACTGCCTGGGGAACCTTAAATGTTATAGAGCATTATCATGCAACTGATATCTCAGTGGGGTAGTTATTTTATAACTGGTTTTACTTGGGAATTGAGCCTCACTAAATTGATTTCCTCAATGGCGTAGTTTGTTACAGCATGCACAGAACATTAGTACTATATTTGTCTCCAAGTTAATTGTTTTTCTTCTGTTAGTTGATGTTAACAGGTGTGATTGTAGACTGTCATTTAATTTTCATCTCTGCATCTTAAATTTAGGCCTGAATTATCTCATTACTTGTGGAATTTGAATAACAGAAATAACTTATTAAATTGTAAGGTATATTATTGTGATGATATACAGCTCTCTGTCACTTTTAAAAGAGATCCATCATTTTATTGTTGGCTGTTTCAGATTCGCTTTGGACGGAAAACATCTAACAATGATAATATATGTCTGTTGCTTATTCTAAATAAACATTGTATTCCCAGTCCTCAAAAAATGCTAATATATTATGAATATTACAGTATCTACAATTGTGTATTGTTCTTGACAATGTGTAGACAAGAACAAATGGTTCAGCATTTGTTCAGCATAGTTAGTTTGGCAAGCATTAAACCATTGTCACTTTCATGAATAGTATTTTTTATAACTCCTGGCTAGGTTAAGGCCATTTTTGTAATTAATGCCAGACTTCACTGGTGTTTTCTAAGTTTTATTAGCTCAGTAGCTGCATTTTTGTTTCACACTTAAAAACTCACATTCTGATATTTAATTAAGAGCCACAGGTATCTTCTTTAAACTAAACTCTTTAAAGTTTCAGAAAAAAATATTTTACGCATTCAAGCAAGACTGACTTTACTCAATAGCAGCAAGCAACCATAACTGTTAAAGCATAATGCCGTGTGTTCTTCTCACAAGCCGTGCCACACTGTGCTTGTGTTGACAGTCTCGATAGTCATGGGGATTCCCAGTGTGAAGAGGGAAGTGCACTCTTACCTCACAGACACCCTCAACTCTCTGATGTCTGAGCTGAGCTCTGCCGAGAGAGAGGACTGCGTGATCGTGGTGTTCATCGCTGAGGTAAGCCAGGTGAAGCCATACAGTGAATGCTGGGATCGTTCCACACTCTTTGATGGTAGTTGAAAATGCAACAAAAAAAATATTCCCCCAATGGCATTACAACCCCTGACAAGACCCCACTTAAACTGACTGAACAGGGGTCTGAGGGTTTTCTTTTAAGGAATTCTGTCTGTAGGTGTAATAAGAGGAATATTTCCTTTTGGCCTTTAGGATAAAAAAAAATGGGTTTATGTGTAAAATGGTAAATATCCTGATAGAAAATAACATAGAAAAACATAAATACATAAACATAATGAGACATATTATAATGGGAGCTGCTGAAAATAATAAAAAGAAGCACAGGATTTTTGTGGGTCGAATTATAATAACCAGATACATGAAGAAGGCTTTATAGCAAAAACATTGTTTTTTTTCTATTTTCAGCATAGAATTAACCTCTACAAGTTCCTTAATTAGACATTGTTTTCACGTCATATGTACTAAGAAAGTATTTTTTTTTGTTATTGTTGTTGTTGCTGTCACGTTTTTGCAATCATACTTTTTTTCTTCTGTGGCAGTGTAAGCTGTTTTTATGCACAGCTCAAGTTAATTATTCTGAATATAAAGATCTGTCTTCAGATCTTTTTCACGCTTGACAGTGAAGGTTTATAGATTCGCTGAACCCTTGAGTCTCAATAATAGATATTTCAGTTTTAGAAAAGGTCAGCTCTCTTAGAAAGGGTTCACCATAATGACAGTTCCTCAGAGCCCAGCCGCAAGAATCAACATTAAGAAATCATTAGACCGCTTTCGTGATGCCTGGATAATTGACTGATTGGTACAGAAATGTCTACGTTTTTTCCTGTTCACCAATTAATTAGTGTGAAATAGGATAGTCTCACAAAATTTACTGACAATGCTTAAATCACTATTCTACTAAATATGGTCCTTGCCTCTTAAATCAGACTATAAAGAGTTGATAGCAGGAGTCTCTCAGTAACAGGGATATACAAGATAAAAGTCTTTAGGTTGGCAGATTGCTAAATAATAGCTTGTCTTATGGCCAACAAGTAACTAAGTACGATACATGCACTTTAATGGTGGATGAAGTTAGTCCCTTTCTTGTAAAGAACTCTGGGATCTTTTAGGATGAAGAGCTACTTAAATCCAATTACTTTCAAATCTTGAAATTCACTTTTGTATCTGCCTCTTCATTGTGTTTAATTTGTTGTACTAAATAATTTATTGTACAGTAGATGTACTACAGTACATCTATTGCTTGATTGTTTTGGTGTAAAGCACCTTCAGAGGTTGTGTCATTAAACATATATATATATAATAAATATTATTACTACTAGTAGTAGTATTAGTATTATTAGGACTTTTACCAAACTGAACAATCCTAGTTTATGATGTTGTGATGCCTTTTGATTTATATCCATTTTTTTTCTTTTTAGCCCTTTTTTGTTACACACATTATCAGAGATTTGTGTCTATTACGTTCTAAACTAACCTGAATTATCTTTCATGTATATGAATTAAATCATTTTGTTTACGGTGATATGTACAGTTCTTTTTATTTACATTTTGATTTCGTAATGTTCCCTGAATTGCTCTAACTGTACAAGTGACAATACAGACTTGCTGCTCACTTTCCTTAAACTAGAAACAGATAAAAAAAAGGATAAGGAAGAAATTCATATTAAAAAAGCCATTCAATCCAGAGTGAGGCTAAGCAGTCTTTCCCTAAAGAAGAAAAAAAATGTGGAAACATTGTTTTATTTTGGAGAGGCAAATGAGAATTTAGAAGTTTACAGCTTGGTGTCTGAGCAAATCAGAGAGATAAGATGATAGCTCTCACAAGATGTGGAATATTTGTCTTTATTCCAATAAAAGGTAAATAACAGCAGCATTAACTGTCTGAAGTAAAGCTTTTTTGGTGGAGTTATGTATAATTTGTGGTAAAAAATGACCTAATTGGTGTCTTTATGTCAGATAAAATTCAAGAGGCTATTCTGCCAGGTGAATTATTCTTTGCCATGACTTGAAATGTCTTCTTTAGCTCAGACAGGGATATGGGTGCCAGAGGTATGGCCACCCTCTGCAGGAGAAAGACAAGGTGAAGAGATTGGAGAAGTCTCATAAATTTTCCTGATCATGTTGAGTGTGTGCTGTAAAATTAAGAACACAGAAGGTGAACTATGGAGTTCACCAACAGAGGATGAGATAATAACGCCCTCTGTGCCGATTTAATAACAAGAATATCTTCGAAGTGTTTATTGCTGCAGAGTCTCAGATTAATAAATGGCTGTGTCAACTGCCGATAAAGTAATATTTTTTTCCCCAAGATGTACATACAAGAAATTCAGCACAATGTCTTGGCAGTAAATTAAATTATTTTCTAAAAGAGCCATCATGGATTCCAGTTGAGTAATTCTGCTGAGATTTTTGCTGTTGTGAAGCAAACACAGTAGAATTATCTTGAACAAAGCGTTTGACAGGTCTGCATGCTGCCGTGTTCTGTCACCATTGCTGCATCCTGAGTTTAATTTGGACTGGTGCACCTTGTGTGAGGAGTCGGCTTGTTCTCTTTTAGTTCACATGGATTTTTTTGCGGTCCTCTGATATCCATCTTCCAAACACATGCTGGTTAGGTTAATTGGTGTCACTAATTTGTTCCTGTGTGCTTATATGTGAGGCTGGTGTCCTATCTAGTGTGTAGGCCCACATTGCAGCCTGTGCTTCTGGGATAGGTTCCTGGGTTGCTGTGATCCTTATCGGTAATAAACCCCTGTCTGATAAGGTATGGATGGAAGCCTTTCAAAGATCCAGTTTAGTTTGAAATAGTTCCCAAAAATCTAATTTTGTGTTTAGTATTGTATTAAAACACCACCCAGGGGCAGATTGATCAGTTAGTATAGATCTGCGGTAAATGGCATAGTGATCAAATAGCAGCAGAGGTAGTGCCTCAGAATTCAGAGTTGTGTGAAAACGGAGAAAACGGAGCATGAGAGGTATATATAGTGAGTTCTGGAGTATGATTTATGTCTAGCTGAAAAAACAAGTTAATTCTTTGGCTGAGCAGTTAAACGCATGGGATTTGTGTCTTTCGACTTCTGTCAAGTAGTATGATTCATGACAGCGTTCATATCTGCACACAGAACAATCTTGAGCTCAGCCGGTCCTAGCAGGGATTTGGTCTAGAGGTTAAATAAATCTGTTTTCTGTGTTACAGGGGTTAAAACCACACCAAAATAAATGTTTATAGTTGAAATACTATTTTTCTTACAGGCCATACTCGCCCCCTCTCTACCAGATTAAATACATACTTTCTAATGAGACTCCTGCGTCATGGTTATATGTTTTTCCATTGTTGCAAAACCAAACAGGTACCACATTTGAAAGAAGAATTGAGCACACAGTTACTCCAGGGCATAACAGAAACATTAGTTACAGGCACCTGTGACCACATTCCATGTCAAAGTGCAGTAAATAACATCTTCAATGAACGCACTATATGTAAATAATGCTAAAAATGAACTAGGTGAGAATAACCGAGATTATGAGGATTATTATTTCACCCAGAGCCATCCCAAAGCACTTAACATGTATAGGGGGACCCACTTTACTGAGCAAAATGTACCAGTCTAGGTGACATGGAGCTGCCATTATGTGACACCAGCCACACTAAACACCAGATTGGGCAGGAAGTATGAAACTGTTTTAACTTTAGGAAGCCCGGATTGTGGAAGGGTCAGGGTGGAACGCAGCCAGGGAACTAGGATTAACATTCCCTGATCTTATTTACATGATAATGTGGTATTTAGAAACAATATGCTTAACTCTGCTGTGTAATGAGGAGCCACTGCCCTCCACCCATCCCAACAATAAGAGCAAAAGAAGCCTCTTCCCCACAAATATGCACAAAGGAAGAGAGGGTAACCCCAACTGGGAAACCCTACCTCCTAATCTTCTCTTCTTAGTGAATCTATGATTCCTGTTCCATCAAGGAATCTGAACTCTAACACCAATGCCACCCTCTTACATTAATCAATAACATGATGCACAAAAATACTCTTCCCTGAGAAATAAATAATAATGAAAATGCAAGAATCACACTCTTCCAAACTACAGGAAAATTCTGAAAGCATAAAACTTAATGAAGAACATGCCTTGTAACATAAAATACAGATCTGAACAGTATCAGAATAAGTGGAAGGGGGTTAAGTGTCACCATGGGAGAAATAACAAAACTGTAGTCACTAAGGTCTCACTTCCCAATGACCTTCCCCAGAGTGCAAGAAAACAACTCACTTGACATGCCTTCATGCAAGCACATGTCAGTCTCAACAAGGGAGTGCTGCACACAAGAAAAAGGGTAGAAACCTCTGATCTTATCCTGATGCACAGGCATAACGGAGGAATGCTGCACAGAACAGTTTTCTTGAGGAAAAAAGGGTATTTTGTCCATTCCAGTTCATTTGGCAAAGTGAATCCTTCAGATCTTACAAATTTACAAATTTCCTCCACAGAAGTAGACAGATGCTGTCCATCAGCACGGTGCGCTTTGAGCACCTTTGAGTATAACAGGAAAGGGGTCGAATCCACTGTGTTCTTTCACAGGCAGTTGTCTATCAGTGTACCAGAGAGGTTTGAAAATACAGCCAGGATTTGTTCAGAAGAGCTATCTCCATCGGTGTCCCCTCCGTGCCTCTGTCCCACTGTGCAATATTTGGAAGCCATACAGGGATTCCTATTTTTAAGAATTTGACTGTATCATCATACTCAGTTCCCTCTGGCAAACCGCTATACAAAAGAAATTGTGGCAGGAGCAGACCTCAGGCCTGATAACTTGTGCTCCAGCGTTGTTCTCTGAGTTTTCATTAGGCCTACCCTTTTCTGTTCCCTTCATTTGCCTAAGACAAGTCCAGTTGCAGAATAGTTGACTTCTGAACGTTTAAAGCACTTTTTGTCACATTAAGCTCTGAACTTGCCGCTGCTGTCTCAGATTTGTCTAGCAGCCCTGCTGCTCCTTTTACTACGCTAGTTAAAAAACTGGTTAAAAAAATATAAAAAGGCTAGAGCTGGAGCTCTAACTTCTGGTTGGCATTCAAAATAATCTCCCACTTTTCCTTTGATTTTAGTGTAAGGAATATATGTTAAATGTGAATAAAATAAGCCCATCCTCAGTTAACGTGCATTGCTCCTGACATAAACTAAAAAGCCGTATATTTACTTGTCATGTAACCATTTCAGATATTGTGAGCTGGTTCTCATTCCTTCTTTCCTCTATTGTTACACAGTATCTGCAATTGGAAATAAAAATAACCCATCTCCTGACCTGACTGCCAGATACCTACCAACACAAAAGAAGCCTCCGCGTCATAATTTTAGATTTCTCCAACTGAAACTGCCGCCAATGCTTGTCCTGAAACATAGGAAGCTATATTCTAACCGGGGGTCATGACTGACTAACATTTTGAATGTTGCTTTAATTAGGGACTCAGCTGGCATAGTAGCCTCACATTGCTGCTAATTGAATATTGTCCAATTTCATCACAGCTAAAATTTCATAATTTATATAATGATACAGCAGTATCCAGCACTACTGTAGATGAGTTACAGAGTTGAAGCGCCAGTGGTGAAGGAGTATTGATTGACTGTCTGCCAGTTAGCTGGATTCCGGTAATACAGGCAAGGCTGAGAGCACTGCTCTGCTGAGCTGAAGAGAGTGCTTCTTGCCTCTTATATTGTGAGAAGCTCATTAGATGGATTGAGGCTTGGTTTCCAAGCAGGAGGAGGGCAAGCAAGGCACAAAAAGGCTTGCTCCTTTCTGTACTTACTGTTAAATGTTTGGGATGTAAAGCAGGTAAGTATCAGAATGTAATGTGCTGGAAGGTCTCCTCTTGTTTGCAAATTCTCTAAAGGTTTTTATAATGGAAAAGAAGATGGATAATTTCCCTTTTAAAGGCTTTGTAAATCTTTCTTTTTTTACCTGTGACCTTATATGTTAGTTGGTTTGGTATGTTTGCTCTGTCACAGATGTCAAGTTGAAGTACCATCTTACAGGTTTTTTCCCCCTATAAGAATTCCTTTTCTAAAACAAAATAAGTTTCATGTCTATCAAAGAAATTCCAGAAGGGATTAATTTAAAAGAGCTGTTTTTGCTATACTTTTTATTAAAAAAAAGAAACAGAATGCTGCTGGTTCAAATTTTTGATCCTCTTTTTAAAAACAAACCCATAAGACACAGCATTTATTGGTGACAGGCTGTTAAATCCAGATGGATTCTTCAAAAGCAAATCATTAAAAGATGTTTTTCACATCTTTGTTGAAGTCATCTGAATCAGGCAAGATGTTTTCAGCTAAAATAGACATTTATTTCTTGATGTACTGGCTCATGAGACAGATGTAAGAAGACAGCTAATGTACATTTTGCTAGCGGTCAGACTGTTAATTGCTGGAAATGCTTTGTGAAACTGATCCCAGGTGCTTCCTGTGAAGGTTTCCAGTTTGTCCTGTTTTATTTCCCCATATTGTTTTCTTTAACCCAGCACATGAGCACTTTATCGGCTTACCTGCTATGAATGTATCATAGTTATCCAAGTGAGCACGAATAGGAAAGAATCTGGCTGTCATTCTCCAGTACTTGCGAATTGTAGTTCCTCTCAAATTTACCATATTACATTTCCTGTTGAAACATATTGTAGCACAGTGCTGCACTTCAGAACACAAATTACTGATTTCAGGCTGGAATGCTATTCTTCGATTCTTGTGGAGACACTTCACTATTGCAAGATAAGATTTCTTTTCCAGCAGTTACAGGTTATACTCCCTAGAGAGTCTTTTTTTCAAGCTACCCTTTTTTCAAGAAATTCTCAAATTCCGATCTACCAAAAGGAACAAATACCCAGTTACAGTATACACATCATAGAAGGAGTTGTTTATTAGCAAGATAGAAGTTGAAGTCAAGGTCAGTTGCGAAATTGGCACAGGCCACAGTTTCAGATCTTTGCAGATGTAAAGTATGGTAATGAACATTTCTTTTTTGTTCCATTTTTCTGGAATTCAAATGTTAATGTTTCAAACCTTTAGCGCCCAGTGGTTATGCTGGTATTGCTGTCTTTCTTTTGAAATTTTTATTGTTTTATTTTTTGTCAGGAATTTTTATGTCTTCTTTACAAAATGCAGCACTGTATTGCAACAGTTAAATTACAACATTATTCACTCAGTGATCCAATGTTAAGATTTAACATATTTTTAATCATGGAGAATTTTAACCTTCTAAGCTAAAATGACCTTGATATAACATTGATGTATAAATGTAGGGAATGATAAATACATGGGCTGATGTACCTTTTGTGTAGCCTCCGCCTTGAGATTTAACTTAATATAACCCATTATATCTATACTGTATATAGATACTGTATTACTATTGAAAATCTGACATTATTTTGGCTTTATAATGTTCCATGTTGGGGTAGAACATTTGTAGGTCCATGTGTGCTTGCAAAGATGTGTATGCTTTAGTAAGGAATGGTGCAATTCAATCCATTAGAAATGGTCCTCAATGTGCATCTTCTCAATCCTTTGTCTTGCTTTTTAGGCAGATCAACAGTATGCCAACAGCGTGGCTGAAAACCTCAAACGCCTGTGAGTATCTGTGTTTTCTGTTTCCATGGAGATCAAAAGCAGACAACTCCATGTGTTTGGTCTGTGTTCCCTTCACTTTGCACCACAGTGTACTTTTCACCTTGAGAACCCAGTGTAGCATGCCAAAGCTAATTCTTCCATTTAAAAGCAAGGTGAGTAGCAAAAGAAATAATGGGTTTTACAAAGAAATATCATCCAGGTTCTGAAGGCCACATTCTGTATTTCAAAATGTATTTTTCTCCAGATTGTGTTCTCATGTCAAAATAGTTTGGATTTTAAGTCCCTTGTTTACATCCACTTCTTATTCAGTATTAAAAAAGCAAATAATGCAAAGCAAATCTTACAAACAAGCAAGACGGGCAGCATGGGGTCATTTAATAAATGTTCATTAATAGTCGGTCCTGACACCAGCAGGCACACCAGTGAATTATGAAAGTAACAAAACAACCCCACTAGTCAGGAAATATTGAATGAGCTGCCACAGCTATAATTTTCCATGAACAATGTGATGGTTCAGATATCAACAGGAAATAGTCTAAAAGACAATGATTTTTATAAACAAAAGTAATACATAAGAAACAAGACACACAAATTCATGTTAACTAACCACTCTGCACAGTTCTAGAGCCCAACAATTCAGTCTGCCTTGTTTAATTATGCACATTGACAAGTCAGATCTACATATGGAAAAATGACACTTTTCTCACGTAACCTCACACTCTATAAACTACGATGTAAAGGAGATGTAATGTGTTTTGAAATTAAATTTCCACAACTATGACAAATACAACTCCTCTCCTTAAAGATGAATCCTTTCTTTGCCCAATACCTGATAGGCTTTGATTCGTCAATGAGGAATCTAAGTGATGAAGGTTGTTTTTAGTGTTAGAATCCTCTCATTTAAATGGAGGACCAATAATGTTCTTGTCCACTTATGCAGTATATCTTCTCCTTTTTATTCTCTTACTTTTAATTCTCCATTGAATGTCCAGTGTTTGCCATACGAGTGTGACCGAGAAGTTCAAGAAAAGTCCAGTCTCAGAAGAAGTCAAACATTTGGTGTATCTGGTGTAGATTTAGTTTAAAATGTACTGTTAATAGAAACATATTGGAAGGTGTTACTTCGTCTGTCTACCAATTCTGATGATACTTGTGGCTGAGGACCAATATAAATATCACTTCAGGCATCTTCGTATTTTTAATTTTTGCATTTTTCGTGTACTTTGACTTGGTGGGGAGACATCTTTGAAATAGTGTGAGATCGACTAGCCTTTTCCTGTTTAAATAAGTTTTAGGACATTATAGAGAGGAAAAATACAGGACAATTATTTCAACAGCTGTAGCAACACTTGAGGAATTGTATTTTTAGTGACCTTGTGACTTGCTTCGCAAGTGAAGCATCAGATATACTCATTCTTGTGTAGTAAAAATTAAACGTTTTGTTCTGGTTTAATCTCAGGAATTTGAACACAGTTCAGAAATGATCATGAGCTGTGATCAGATGTGACTGAGGTATAAGCTTGGGTAGGTGGTCATGTTTATGGTATATGCCTGTTTGTAAAATTAATCCTGGTTCAGGCCCTTTCCTTCCAGATTTAGAAATAAAAACAATTACTTCCGCCCTCAAGGAAAATCTTGGCTGTGCTGTACCATACCCTGGACAGCATACAACATCTGGTGTTTTAATGTTCACACACAATTACAATATTTAACTACCACTGCTTGATACTGGGAACAAGCTATATTTGTCACAGACAGGGCACTGTTGAAGAACATAAGGAAAGAAAGGAAAAACTTAAATTCATAGAGCTACTTTTTAATTCCAGCAATTACAAGTCAGCACCACTTTGCATTGGAATAAAAAATGGCTCAATTCTGGGATGTGGTCAGTGGCAGTTACAGTTTTCCACCATGTAAAATGATTCTTTTCCATTACAATTGCCAGCCTTTGAAATGGTTCGTTCAGAAATTGTTATTGAAACTACTTGACAGCATGGGTAACAGTGGCTCTAATTGATATGACTGAAAAGTTTTACGGTGAAATGTTTTTTAAAACTAAAATAAACTACCATTTTTTTTTCTGTTTAAAGAGAAGCAGTCTCAGCAGTGTCTGTGGGATCTAATTATATCATACTCTATGTTACCCAGCTGCAGCATTTCCAAACTGTTATTGCTAAAAAACACAAAGCAAAGGAATGTCTGAGTATTTCCTCAGAAAATAATTTAATGATTTAAGGCTTTAAAAATAGCTCTACATTCATTAATTTGTAGTTGATAAAAGGAAAGAAAGGATGATTTGTCCTTAGTGCACAGTAACATTTTTGAAAGAACAAATAATGCCTCATACAATATGCAGAGAGAGAGATTTAATACGTTCATTTATTTAAGGGAATTTGAAAGGTTTCAACCAGAATGATGAGGCCACGTAATGATTAACCAGTTAATTTTATAAATTGATCAGAACTCAGATCTGTTCCACATCTTTACAAATTGGTGGTTTAAAGGTGACATGTAAGATGTGCTTGAGTGTGGATCTTCAGGACTAGGGTCTGTGAACCCTTCTGTAGTACATGGTACCTTCATTGGTTTCTAATAACAAGCTTACAATTTAGCCTTCATGCTCCAATGGTATCCCATAAAGACTCTCCGTGGAACCACCTTACTGCAATCCCGGCTTTTCTGAGTTATTTATTAACTTGAGGACTTTCCCCTCGTCCACCTAGTGTCTTTTAGCTGATGAGCAGATTTCTTTGTACCTGACACAATGACAGGTTCCCCAATCTGTGCTGGCAGAGTGGATGTTCACATTGGATAGCAGCGATCTCTTCTGGACATGAAGGCATGTTTTTTTTTTCCATTATTGGGGAATTGGATGTCCTCTGAGTCTCCATAATTTATCGCCGAATGGGATTGAAGTGCTCAGCTTCCTTTTAAAGGCTGCCTTTTGTTATTTGTTTGAATTGCTGTCAGAATCTGGATGATTTCACACAGAGGTTTCCTATCCTGCACATCTTTTGTGCAGCTAAATGTAAACTACACCAAGACAGCTCCACTGTCAGTGATATTGAATTTGTACTGCAGCAATTCTGGCTTTTTGGAAATTTTGTTTTGCCATTTTGCTGTGAAGATTAAGAAAATCTGTCACTATCACTTTAGTATATAAAATAAGCGAGCATATGAAACTTGCAATCCTAGTTGTTTCTTTTGCATATTTTAAAACTAAAATGACGTGCCTGTTAAAATGTGTTTTTTTACCATGTGATGTGTGATTCTGTCTAATTTCCTGTATGTTAAAATAACTTAAGCCACTATTTTTAAGTGCTAATTTTTTTTTCTCAGATTCCCCACTGAGATCCAATCGGGCCTCCTAGAAATCATCTCTCCGTCCATCAACTTCTATCCGGACTTCTCCAAGCTGAAGGAATCTTTTGGGGATCCCAAAGAAAGAGTCAGGTAGAACCTAGGTGCTTTTTGGTGTGAATGATTTGGTTCTTGTGTGTGTTCCCAGCACTCGTGCATGTTGAGAAGTTAAGATAATAATCTTCATTTCAAAAATAGGCGCTTGCCCTTTCTCCTGTTATAATAAATCAAACTTGTCTCCTTAAATAGCCTAGTAATATTCCATGAAAAATATCCTGCATGCCTTATTTATTCTTTGTGTTCACAATTACATAATGTGAAGTTATTGAATTACCATCCCTGTAGAGCAGAAGTAAACATGAGCAGAGTCATTTTCCTTGCTTGTTGAGCAGCTACAATTTAACTTAACTGTTAAAATGAAATAAAGATAGCATTGTCAATTAAAATTGTTTCCCTTACCCATTTTTAGAGTATAACTACTTAAAAGTGCATAATCAAAGCTTTAAAACCTTATACCTCCAACAGGGAGAATGTTTACCCAGTAAGTTATTTATATTGAATTCATCCCAGTTTCAATTTACTTCATTCTTATGCCCAGTACTGTAGACATTCTGAGTACTTCTACTACTAGATTTAGTAAATATCTGTGAAAGTAAAAGGTGATGTGGAGGCATGCCATGGAAATCATGAGCAAATCATTAGAAAAGCTGCAAGTGTCTGTCTCACATGCTTGTGTAATTTAAGCACAGACATGATGAGAGGGTGTTTCCTAACAGGCAGTGCACTTGAGTGTAATGTTGCCGTAAATAGTCACTACTGACTGTAAAGATTGGGGTAGAGATTGGGAATGTGTGAAGCGTAGGAGAGACAGCATGTGGAAGCAATTAGAAATCAGAAAATGGAATTAAACAAGTGTCAAAATCTTGTGTGAGTCTGCATAGGGTAAAAGCAGGCAGAGAAGTGAGAATTTAAAGCATGGAAAAATGGAGCTGCTGGTAGATGAGGTGGGTGCCCAGTGTAGTGCTAGCACTCTATGTTGTCGGTTTGTGGCAGGTAAGGGTTTCTTCCTCTGAACTTCCAGGCAGGGTTTGCCTTTTCCGATAAACTCCCTGGGCTGTGGGCCTTATTTTGATTCTCTCGCTTTTTAAAATGGCGCCTTTTCCTGTCTGCAAGAACAGCCTCCATGCCTTGAATGGTTAAGTCTCTCATTGCTGCATGGCTGCTTTTTCTAAGACAGATATCAGCTCATTATACAGTAACTGCTTGTCATCTGTGTAAACTAGCATGCAAGTTAGACACATTTAATAGAAAGGCTTTTGTGGCTGCTATGTGCATATTGTCAACCTCCTCACACCTGTCTTTCCATATCTTTTGCATAAATTAGCAGGCATTTAGCATATTCATCACGAGTAAATTTAATAATCTTCCAAAGTTAACATGTATGTTTCCAACAAAGTGTACAGCTTTCAGACAGTTCTAATGGTGGTCTATGGTGTTTCCTTACTCCTTTATTTCTGCGTTTGTAAGCACTTGTGCATCTACTGCATATTTGGAGGTTGCATGTTGTGTTTTTATAACGTACATGGACTTTGCTGATTTACAGCATGTGCGAGCTACCACCAGCAAGTTCTAATATTAGATTTAACAAATGCTTACAGCTAAGTCCACCTTAGTAAACTTGTGCTTGGCTAGGAATCACAATTGTTATTGTTTGTTTTTATTGTACTTTTTGTGACCAGTAAAACACATCAGACTAATGTAGTGCTGCAGTCAGTGCATACCTCATAGGTTAGCATTAGTATATTATACATTATGTGGTGAAATAACTCATGACTCAGAGGTAATGTTGACCTTTACTCGCATTTTTTCAAAATGTGGGAGTAAATAGCTTAAAATACTAAAGCGTTAACTAGAACACTGATCCTACTCTTTTCATCACACTTTCCTACTGCTTCTCCAATGCAAAAGTCAGAAAATAAACTCTTAATCCATTGAGAATTTGAACAGCTTGAAGAACTGAAGGCTCTGTTTTTGATGAGATGATGAAATTATGTTCATGTAAGCTTTGAATAAAAAACCTGCTTTATGATCTGGTAGCAGTTTAATGCAAATATACTTTCAGCCAAAGACATATAAAGAGCCAACAGCCATATCGAAACCTCTTTCATGCAGGTCATCCTCCTTAGAATGTCTTAAAACATTGAGACAAGGCAGACACTTGACTTTGCTTACTGATGACTTCTGTTGAAGCTAAGGTTGAATACCTTCCATGTCTTAATTACTGTAATGCACTGAGTGTATCGGAGTGTATTATTTCTGCGTGTGTTGGTTTGTGGCCATGAATTTTGTATAAGTTTTCATTTCTCAAGGGTGGCCTTTGTGAATTTTACCATATGGCTAAACCACCACAGCCTTGGCTTAGTTTGCTTAGATGTGTTTACTAAACAAACATTTAAAACAAATGTTTGCATTCCCTTGAATTTGACACAGTACAATAGAGTAAGAAATTAACAGAGAAAAGAAGGCTACACATGCCTGTTCTTTCCAACTAAGTTGCTAAACATTTTAGCATTACATTTTGTTTAAGCCAATCTATTCTGATAAGTCAGTGAGAGAGAAAAGAGCAGAAAGATACAAAGATGGAAACAGTAGTACAATGTTACTGTAGGTAATGGCCTCTTGTACGTGGGCATGAATCTGCATGTGGGTGATTGTCTGCACAATATATGTTTTATGCATTTGAGGGCAGTGTTTTTCATTATACAGAGGAAAACCTCATGTGGGACCTGTTTACAGAGAATTCCTTTTCACGACAATCTGTGAGGTACTTTGGTGGTACACTTTAATGTGGAACAGCTTGATCCCTTTTGAAACTTGTCCATCTCTAATGGGAGGCATGTCTTACAAGGTGCTTGAAACATGGCTTAGTGTTATGGTCTGCTGAAAGCTCTGGGACTCATCAGTGGGATTCAGCAGTGTTTCTGCAGTCTTTCTTTTGTCCTGTGGGACATCCTTGAAAGTACTGAAAGACAGTGCAGCTGTATTAAATTCAAGAACAATTCATCCGTGGTAACTGATCGTACATACAGAGCATTTAGGCAGCATACCCTTCTACAACATGCAGCATTTTCTTACTATATTCCATGATCCACCTACATAACACGCTCTTAAAGGTGTATTTGTATTAGAAATGTGTACTTGAATTAGAGTGTGTGTGTGAGAATCTGGGTGTGTGTAAGTAGTTGAGCTGGTGTGTGCCTAGTGTTAAATTGCCTGTTTGCAGGTGTGTTTGTCCAAACATCCGTCTGTGCCTTTAAATTTCACTTTTGCTGCTCAGAGTGCTAATTTTAGCACTAGAGTGCTGAGGCTGAGGCCTGTGATTTATTGCTGCGTTTAATAAGATGGGAAGCTGAAGTAAATAATTCCCAGGTCTGTGCTGCAGAAGGCCATGTTTAATTCATGAGGGCTGTTAAGGCAGAATATTATTTTATGGAGAGATATATCTCAGGAAAGTGCCTCCTTTACAGCTAACTGTCAGCATTCAGCTTCAGTGAAATCATTCCAGGCACAGATTAGCTGGAAGAGTAGCCTGCAAGACAAAGGAAGAGGTTATCAAGATCATAGACCTTGGAGTTGTTGCTGTTGTGTTCAGTGTTGGGTTGGCCAATGAGAAAGCGAGGAATAGCAGACTGCTTAACTATCCTTTGAGATCATGCAGCCACAGGGAATCCAGTGCAGTTAACTTCCTTCCTCAAGGGAAAGGTTGGGGATGGCTGAAGCATTTGTTTTTCTCTCTGTTTAGCTGTGGGGTGGAAAGAAAGTGATCGGAATGGACAGGCTCTACGAACGGAAGCAGTGCTGTTGTTTTAAGAAACTAAGACTCCTTAGCTTTTGGGTTGACATTTTTTTTTATGTGAGTCATGTCTTCCAGTTGAACAAGTTAAGTGATGATTATGAACAAAAAAATAATTGCCTCTGCTACAATATCAGTATTTATACGATATACAGTGTGTAATTATTTTGACTGTAATAAAAATAATAATAATGATGATGATTATAATACTCTTGCTCATTAATAAAATAATCCTGAAACTTTTGTCTGCATTAGAGAGACTCAGGGTAGCTTCATTGTAGTCAGTCTCAGTTCCTTTTATTTCTCTTAATGATTGAAATGACATTGCAAATCAGCAGTGGAAAATTCACAGAGAGTTCGTGGTAACATGCATTTCTTACCTACCTTCACTTAAGGACAGAAGAATTGATCTTTTACTCTTTCTCTGTTTCCTTTAGAAAGCCTTAGTGATTTTTTGTGGTGTCATGAATGAGAAAAAGATAAATTGCAGATCCTTTTTTATATAAATATGAACCAGGGTCCACAATTCTACTGAATAATGGCTAAAAGAGATTAATGTGTAGTATGACAGATTCTTCCTATCTGATGGTGATTCTAACAAAACCAACATCCATCATTTGTGATGATTGTATCATATTTGACAACACATAGTTACCTGCACTGATAAGACTGAACATGGGCCATTTATTTACCTCGTTTTGCAGATACCTAAAATATCATCATTGTTTCACATGGGTCTTTACTGTGTTGCCATTGAACACAGTATATAAAAGAGATTGGCTGGGGTTATGGAAGTAACAATCATGCTTTCTTCCTGTCTGCCTTTCACCGAGTCCTGTGAGGGCTATTACAACAAGCCGAGAACAAAACTGAATGTAATTTCGTAGGTGGAGAAATTTCAGGAACAGAGGATCTGTGTGCATAAAGTGAAGAAAGCAACCTGGTATAAAAAAAACCTTTGTCCTTTTTATTTGTATTGAAATGAAATGCAAGGGGTTATAAACAAAGAGCTTCTTACTCTACTGGAATACTACGTTATATTTAACATCTTCCACAAAGTATAATTCTGGCGTCAGCATGCGTAGTTTGCAAAGGAACAAGTAATAGGTTTATTTCATGCTGAAAAGAGAAGAGAGAAAACAACGTTTCGGCTATGAAGCTTTCTTCATGTGTGAGAAAGATAGGGCAGACAGCAAAGATTAAAGTGCACAGAAGGACAAAAGCTGGGCGAGGGGAGGGG